TTAAGCCAACTTTATCTCGTAGATTTCTGTTTATCCTGTTCTGAAGTGGAAATCCTATCAATTGCCATCCATTGTTTACTGGTTCACGGAGCTCTAGCAACCTCATCTCTCCTGCTCACCTCAGCTGTAGTTGGACAGATGATGAGCTGCTTTGGATTCACCATCATCATAACTGTCATGATACGGTCATACAAATACCTCAAAATAGCACGGATTGAGAGATCCATAATAGTGATGAGTTACTCCTTTAATAGAACATCAGTAGCGGTTTGGGAGCCAAAAGAGCTGACTCTTATTGCTGAGCTAAGCCATGATCAATAATCTGGCTCACTAAAGAGAGCTGGGATTCCCATCACTAATCCATAGTTTCTAACAGGGATTAAAGGCCAGCTATTAGCCGTTTCATATGAATGACATAAAACAACTTAAATATACTGCAAATAACAGAAAGCCTGCTATACATATGGATAAATATGCTTATCTTTTGAACCTATTTATCAGTGATGGGAATAACAGCGTTATAAATAACGGCGTTACTAACAGCGTTACTTTTTTTCCAGTAACGAGTAATCTAATTGATTACTCTTCCCATCTTAATAACGATGTTACCATTACTGCCAAAAAATGCGGCCCATTACTATAATTCAAGCTGTTTTTTTCATCAGACCAACTAGATCTCTGAGACGAGAGGCAAAGACTTTTTTTTACTGTTCTTCCTTTGTTAGTGGGCAGTGCACGAGACAAGCGCATAAATGTTGACCATTGGCTGAGGTTGAGTAAAATTTCATGGTAAGCCAATCAGAGGTAGAGTTGGGTGGGTGTTCGAAAGCATGCAAAGTCGGACACACAACGAACAACACAAGCGAGTCAGTCAACGAGAGACAGGTATGGCGAGTTGTGTTGCATCTTATTACATTTGCACTAAAAAGAGTGTATATGTTGTTTGAATAAATTTGGTACATTGCTTAAAGAGCATATTTAATTTAGATTTATTTGTTGGCTGGCTGCAGCCTCTTGAAGTGAGATTGTCAATGGCCAGAGAAAGAGATTTATTTTTATGGAGCTGTATTTTTTATTTCGTATGTATTATTATTATTATTGTTTATATTTGGATTCTTTAGTTTTGATATACATTGTACTTTTCAGTTAGATTGAAAGCACCTCATATTGTTACAGTGTTCTACTTTTTCGAGGAAGAAAATACTTTAAGTACAGTGTATCTACCAATTGTCTGAAGTTTTTTTTTTGTTTTATTTGCACTACAAAGAGTTTATATCTTTGTTATTTATTTTTGGTATAGTGCTTAACAAGCATAATTTAATTTTGCCCAGTTGTGGCCTGTTGAGGGGAATAAATATCAAAAGTTCCAAAGCATCTATTGTGTTATTTGTATCGATCCACTATATAAACATATTATCTACATACATGGCATTTGATTGGAGGCTAGTCTCACTTTGTCCCACAGCAACATTAAAATAGTTTAGATTTGTGCACATTGTTTCTGTTAATAATGTATTGTATTAAGTGTCCATTTCATTATAATATTCAGATTTATCATAAATAATTGAACATGCACATGTATTTTAAGTTCTGTTAAAGAGGGGTGGAGGTGGGGTCATATCTGAGCATTTAAAAATGTACTTGAAAGTAACGCAATAGTTACTTTCTAAAGTAACTAATTACTTTTATAATTTTTAACTGAGTAACTAATTTAGTTACTTTTTGGAAGAAGTAACTAGTAACTGTAACTAATTACTTTTTAAAAGTAACTTGCCCAACACTGCAATTTATATGGTTTTACATAAACTGAGAAGCTTCAGGTGCAGGTGTTGTCTTCACCTTGTTTATGGCTGTAGTTTTTTTGTTATAAAATAGGTATAAAACATATTGTGCTGAATGTCAAGATGAATTTATTTAAAGGATAATTTATTTCTCCCAGCCACAGTCAGAGACAGAGCTAAGTGTTAAGTGAAAACTTACTCAGCACAAAGTGGTCTTCAAATTCACAGACTTTAACTGTGTTTTAACTGACTTTATTGGTGCAAGGAACGTGTACAGTAACAGAGCAGGAAACTTTGCTAATACAACCAAATATTAAGCATTGCAACAACACAAGACAAATAGCCAGCTAATATCACTTACTTACAACAGCAGAAGGCCAGGTCCCCGTCCGTCTGCAGCCTTTTATTTCACAGAGCTCTCTGTCAACCTCCTCTTTAGTCTCTTTGTCTCTGCCATGATGTCCGTAGAGGATGCTGTTCCATTGCCCGCTCGCCTGGCTCCCGTTGGGGCGAGACATTGGCGCTGCAGGAAACTCTGTAAATAATAGAGTTGAGGAGGAGCTGGGACATCAGAGGGAAATTTGTTCTAGTGAGACTAAAATCGTCCTGTTTGAAGTAACCTTACCAAAAGTTCAGAGGGTAAATATGAGACGGTCATTTCACGTGTGGTCTGTACCTTCACAACTAGACACAAGGAAGTAAGTTTGGTGATGAATGACTCACTGTTTTGTGCGGGAAACGACAATGACTGGTCAAATTAGCAGAAAAGTTTTGTTGATTGGACAAAAGTGCAAGGACGCACAAAATTAACGGGATTGGTTAAAATTTGCCTTCCACGTTGCAATCCAAAACAGTGCAACTTCCTGGAGGGACTGATAAACCTAACCAACCCAACCAATGAAGGCAACACGTATTAGCAAATCTGAGGGCAGAGCAGGATGGGTCATTCCTTCGCCATCCTAGGAAATAAATATTGCACCCTGTAGGCCTGCTCTCGCACTAGAGGTAGGAAGTGTATAATCCTTTATGGCACTAAGTCTCGCACACACCACAAACAAGGTACACTGCTAACTGCTAACTGCTGGGTTAGGGTAAGAATATCTGGGTAATGCAGAGTTGGGCGGGTCATTCCTTCCTCAACCTAGGAAAACAAATATTGCGTACGGTTTTAGAGTGCCATTGACAGAGGCACCATTGTCCCCATTACAAGTCAGTGTAGCATCGACATGATTTTGAGATGTTGTTTTTAAGTAGAACATTTGCATAATGTTGCTTTAACAGTGTAATACCCTGAAAATGGCCATTATGAGTGCTTTTATTTTCATATTTAACACAACATAAAACAAGAGTCAAATTCCTTGAATGTGTACCTGGCCAATAAAAGTCATTGTGATCCTGATATTTAAAGTACATTTAGCTGTTAATACTAATTTACTATACCCCTGAATGACTGAATTTTTATTGGATACTATTCTACATAATAAAATAATTAAACAGATCTGAATATTTGTGATAATACTTTCACTACTTAAGAAAAAGTATATACGTTTGAGCTTAATGTAAGCTTACTTGAAGTATGAAAAGGAAAAAAAAGAACTCTGCACTATAATGTCCCCTGTTACTGACATTATATTGCATTATAAGATTGGTATTCCTGAGCAGCATTTTATTGTTGATGCTGCTCAACGTGGAGCTAGTTTTATCTTCTTTATATGTAGTTAACTAGTTTAGTCCAGTGGTCACCAAACTGGATTCTAATACACAAATCTATTTTCATATTACTTCTCTAACATTGCTTTTATGTAAAACGGATTATTATACCTCTTTGGATCAAGAACAATAATTTAAATTAAACCATGTGAGGGGAAAATTTCTCTGGAACTGCCAACAACTCTCAGACATCAGAAACATGACAAGAGGCTCAAACTTTTCATAAGGGATCACAAGCAAAGAACAGCAGGAGACCACTGGTTTAATCTCCAACAATCTGTTTGTGTTCTATAAACCTTTCACCTCAAAATTGTAGATTAACCTGCAGTACATGAGTAAATGTACTTGGTTACTTTCCACCACTGAACATAGATATTCCTCTTAGTCTCAGCTACAGGGGACGGTGAACCTCTGACTACTTTGTATGCGTTTTTGTCGAGTTGCTCGCCCCTCTGCGGCAGAAAACGATACTTCAAAACAAAAGCAAGACATCACTACACTACACTGAAAAATAAAGTTGCCAAATGTCACCTACTTGCCAGTGATTTCGCCCGGCACCTGTTGGGAACCACCGACGAGGCGATCCACGGCGGGAGGTTGGATGATAGCGGCGGATGGAGGCAGTCACAGCCTGGGAGGAACCGCCCTTCGATGAACACAGCATGGTCCCTAACATTGTCACCAACTCATGCATCATCATTACAGTCTGCATTTCAGCAGAAATGACTCATGGCTCTTTCTAAACGGGCACCTCAGGAGCTACGATATTCTAAGTGTAACAAGTGAGACACGGACAGGCAAGAGGCAAGTCTCTCCAGTTAATTAATTAACATTGGATCATTAAATGCAATTAGACGTATCCTACCCCGATTGCCAAGCATTTGCCGTGGAGTCCCTGCAGAGTTTATTTGAAAGTGATGGCTGTAGAATAAAATGAGCCGTCGAGCAGCAGACACTCCGTTTGACAAGCTGTTAAAAAGCTGATAAAACGCAGCGAGACGCTCCTCAGTAGGGTGTGTGCCAGCTGAGCAAAGTGCTGGATGTACACTAATACATCTATTGCACCCTCTGCATGCACATTGATATAGTGCGCCTGTATTTAATCAGTCATCATTCCTTTAGTAAATAAAACTTCACTCATTCTTTCCTGCAATGCTGAATAAATAATTTAAACAATTTAAAAAAGACAAATTATTTCTTCCAAAATGTTTTCTAACAAAAATAATTTGTTTCTATCACTATGAGAATTTAAACACCCCATAAACAGAGACAAAGTCTCATTATTACTTATTTCTTCCTAAACATATAAAATATAGATGAAGAATCATTTTTATTATAAAGAAACAGATAAACATGTGACCGAAGGTCACTAAACCTCACTTCCTTAAAGTCAATTATCAATCAGACTTGAGCTATCCGCTTCCTCACAATCCCCTAGTAATCTAATTTTTCCAATTTAAGGATTATCTCGGGATGGTATAAAACAGCACCCACAACATCATAAACTGCTTAAGTGGGGTTAGCTTACACCACAACTATTGGCACTGCCCATTGATTGAAGCTCCAGCAACGTAGGCAACTGAAGATGGTGTGGGAGGGAGGAATTGTGCCCAATGGCACAGAAGGCAGAAACTTCTACATCCCCATGTCCAACAGGACTGGGATTGTTAGAAGTCCTTTTGAATACCCACAGTATTATATGGTAGATCCATGGATCTACAAGCTTCTAGCTTTCTACATGTTCTTCCTGTTCTGCACTGGAACTCCCATCAATGGTCTGACATTGTACGTAACAGCTACGAACAAGAAGCTTCGTCAACCTCTCAACTACATCCTGGTCAACCTGGCTGTGGCTGGCCTGATCATGTGCGCCTTTGGATTCACCATCACCATCCATTCTTCTCTTAACGGCTACTTCATTCTTGGCCCCACTTTCTGTGCTATTGAGGGATTCATGGCCACACTTGGAGGTAAGAAAGAAGGAAGTTTTCTCTTAAGTGTGTCATACATGCAATGATTAAAACATAAAAGTAACACACCAAATATTTCAGTTTCTTTCCTCTCATTGTTTTACAGGCCAAGTATCTCTCTGGTCACTGGTCGTCCTGGCTATTGAGAGATACATCGTCGTCTGCAAACCCATGGGAAGCTTCAAGTTCAGTGGAACTCATGCTGCTGCTGGAGTTATTTACACCTGGACCATGGCTTTTGCATGTGCTGCCCCCCCTCTTTTTGGCTGGTCCAGGTAATTCCTACATTCTTTTAAATCCCACATTTTAGGCCATATGAATTTCTATTTTAAACTGGTCAGGGAAGATTTACAGTATATCACCACTCAAACACACCATTCTGATTTTCTCATATAATGTTGCAGAGGGTAAATGGCTGATTTAAAGGCATACTATGCAGTTTTCCGGTTTTGTCAAAAAGCTACCCCTAGAGTCGCTGCGGAGTACTTCTATTTAATGTTAACTGTCGTAAATACCACTCACCAGAGCCGTCTCTATACACAGCTCCTCCCTGTATACCGGTACATAGATAGATAGATAGATAGATAGATAGATAGATAGATAGATAGATAGATAGCTTTATTAATCCCACAATGGGGAAATTCACTTGTCACAGCAACATTTGAGTGAAATAAATACAGATATAAAAAACAGGAACATTTGCATACAGCAGGTCCAAGGTCCTATTGTCTCTGGTGGTGCATGTGACAAACTGGTGGAAGGTTGGGAGTGTGGACAAGAGAGAAACATGGTTGAAGTCCCCTGTGATGATGATGAAGGCCTCCGGGTTTTTCGTTTGTAGTCCTGCAGTCACAGTGTGGATGACATCACACGCTGCTTCTGCTTTCCCAGGCGGAGGAATATAGACAGTGATGGCTTTAACACTGGAAAGTTCCAATGGCAGATAATACGGACAAAGTCCAACGGCAACAGCTCAATGTCCGGGCTGCAGACACACTCTTTCACACAGACGTGCCCAGGGTTACACCACCTGTTTATTATGAGCACAGCAAGTCCCCCTCCTTTCTTCTTGCTGGTCGCGGTGGTGTCCCTGTTGGTTGAACCGTCTGGAAGCCGGGCATGGTGACGTTGGAGTCCGGTATCTGCTTGTGTAGCCACGTTTGTTTCCAGTGATGACTGCAGGGATGTAGAGTTTAAACCTCCTCTTCTTCATCCTCCGTTTAACCCCGCTCTCCAGCCTCGCCGTCTCCTCCTCAGCTCCTCCAGTATGGAGGCTCTCTCTCCAATCAGGATGCTCGGGTGCCTCAGGGCCATCTTCTGGTCACAGGTGTAAACAATGTGACTCCCCGTCGCCATGGAGACCCGTGCAAACAAAAAATAAAAAGTGCTCAAAAATGCCCAAAAAGTATTTAGGCGACGTGAAAAGAGTTAAAAATAGCAAAAAACACACTGAAAACACACATGTTCAGTAGGATGGAAGCTCGGACATCGAACAGGCAAAGATAGACTCTGAAGATGTCTACTGACCAGGTAACATCTGAGTGAATGCCTGCTTGCTGATGTATGTGATGTCGCGGCGTAAGATTTGGCAGGGCGCCACCTTTCAGACTTGCATTGCTGGTTCTGCCAATGGCGTCCCTCTCCTGCTTTGCTATCGGGATGATTCGCTATAGTATGAGTTTGTTTACCATTGAAATGACTTCGAAGCTGTTATATTAAGGTAAAAATCTTGCATAGTGTGCCTTTAAATAAACACAGAAAAATGTCATGCATGATTTGTTCTTCTTTAACTTCACACAGGTACATTCCTGAGGGCATGCAGTGCTCCTGCGGACCCGACTACTACACTCTGGCTGCAGGCTTTAACAATGAATCATACGTCATCTACATGTTTGTTGTTCACTTCATGTTTCCCGTCACCACCATTTTCTTCACTTACGGAAGCCTTGTGCTCACTGTCAAAGCTGTAAGTGAAGTTTTAGTTGTTCTTTGCCCTGTGTATCATTAATAATAGGATGAACTAACTAACTAATCGCCACCACTGTACATGGTAGAATTTATTGGATGAACTTATGCTGATTATCTTTCATTTCATCAAAATCTTTAGGCTGCAGCCCAGCAGCAGGACTCAGAGTCTACCCAGAAGGCCGAGAGGGAAGTGACACGTATGTGTGTCTTGATGGTCTTTGGCTTCCTGGTAGCATGGGTACCATATGCCACTTTCGCTGGTTGGATCTTCCTGAACAAAGGAGCTGCCTTTACTGCCCTGACAGCAAGTCTTCCCGCCTTCTTTGCAAAGAGCTCAGCACTTTATAATCCTATTATCTATGTGCTCTTTAACAAACAGGTCAGTACAACAACAACAGTATGTTTTTTTGTTTCTAGTATTTGCCTTTTGTTTTTACAATCCTGAACCATGCACTTGTTTCTGAATTTGCTATCTTTGCTCTCTTCTTCAGTTCCGTAACTGCATGCTGAGCACTGTTGGAATGGGTGGCATGGTGGATGATGAGACCTCAGTTTCTGCCAGCAAGACCGAAGTCTCCTCTGTCGCCTAATCACGATGACATCTTCATTTCTGTGGACATTTTCTGTATTTGCTTCCAGATCTTAAAAAAAAAAGATCTAGAGAAAATATAACAATTGAATTTTTGCCATTTATGGATTTGCTAAATGGACTTTGGACCAAACACAGGAACTCACCTGTTAATATTTATATATAAAGAAATGCATATGCTGTGTGCATCTGTGTGTCTGTGTGTGTGCAAGAGTATTTGAGTGAGTAAGTGAGTGTGAATGAGCTGTGGATCACTGTACAGCATTTGATGGCTCTAAAAACACCTAAATTCACACTTTCTGCTGTGATGTGAAATCACACGTAGGGTATTTTCATGTATCATGTTTTACTGGTCCACCAGTGTTATTGTTTGTATGTATTTTATGAAAAATGTAAAAAAAAAATTATGAAATAGATAATAAAATTGCATTCATGAAAAGAAATGTACTGATGTATTAATTTAACTCAAAACATTTGATTAATCAATCATGATGATCAGTGTGGTTGTCCATGCAGGCCAAGTCAGTTTAGTTTTATGTTTAAATTACCCGTAAAGGGCTTTAATCTGTATGACATCCACTGTCCTGCCCTCAAGTGGAGCAACTGAAGAGGGATCACTTTTCCTCTGCGAAGGTCATATTGCCTTTTGGAAGACAATATTTGAAATTCAGGCTCTCCTCATAACATTTACATAATGCCAGTGGCAGAGAAAGGTCTTTAGTGTAAATAGTAAATAGAAAGAGCATAAAAAGTTGCAGTCTGCTGTCAACAGTTTTAAGCAGACATGGTTGATGCATTTCTTACATATTGTGGCCGCATACTGATGTCACAGTAATAAAAAAATCTCTTAAAGTCACAAGACACTGAATTAGTAAAATAAATCTTCTTATACAGCATCTAACCCAGGGATTGATTATACCAACACGTCTACAATTAGAATAATATCTTTAGGTAAAGGTATGATTTTATATTTACAGGTTCCTCTAGTACCTTTTGAATATATGACATTTAGATTAACAGAACTACATATCCTGTGTCATGGATGACTAAGAACCTTTACACACAATATAACTTACAGTATTTCATTTATAATAGGGGAAAAAATCAAGTCTGAGAGGGTAAGAGAATCGGTATTTGAATGAATTAATGACACATTTATGTATTTAATTTTTTCGTCTTGCATTTTTATGCTTTTTAAATCTAGTGCCTACTGAAGGTGTTTTCTTTTTGTGAGTGTTTTATATGTACAGTACTCAAACTGAACCACTGAATAGACATTATATCAAACTAACTTGTAGCAGTTATTTATTGTTGTACTTATTATAACTGCCAAGTGCAGTTAGACACCCGATGCAAATAGCATAGGATTAAAATATCTGTGTGCCAGCATCCATCCACACCTGAAAGACAAATAAAGGATATGTTTTCATTTTCAATCAATTACAAATGAAAGGATTTTACTGTGTAACTGCAGTGAATCTCTTCAAAACTCATGAATCATAATATTTTATATCTATCGATTTATATATCAGCAAAAGCCTGCAAATACAGTGAACATCTTGTATAAGTAACTGATCTTTTCAATCTCCTGAGCTTTGATTTCCCCTTAACTTTCTACAAAAGTAGCTTTTTGTATTTACAATGTGTCACATATACTAAATGTGCAATTAGGCAGCAAGTTCAGTAGAGCCACGTATCATTATGACAGAGATGTAGTAAAATCTATGCATACCTGTGGGTCAGCCAGGCGGGATGGATCTGGGTAGAGGTAGAACTTGATCCCAACCAAGGCCCCAGGCAACGGGAGTCCACGAACAAGCAACACCGCCAGCATCACATATGGAAATGTGGCCATAAAGTAAACTACCTGTGGAAGAGTCATGTTGGGGTTTCATTTGTGTCAAAACTGTGGACATCGATAGCTGTGTTGACAGTGCTACCCAGCTCCAGAAATGAAATTCAACAAAGCTTAATTTAAGTTCACCATTTTCACCTTCTTAGTTGTAAGTTGCTAATTAGCACAACACACAAAGCATAGCCGAGTCAGATCTTATTTCGTCAAGTATTGGACAAAATGACAATTTGAAGGATCACCAAAGTTAGTGCAGTTTATCTTCAGGGGAACCTGAAAGTGTGAAAACAGATTTTTGTGACATTACCATCCCTTGAGCCACGCCTCTAGGGATGGCAGAGAGAGTTTCAATATTATGTTTGAGGTAGTGTAACAATTAGCTAAAGTCCTGTGGCCCGACACTGCTCTTTCAGACCATACACAACATATTCTAAAATCTGTATTTAACTTGAAGTGACAGAGGCATTGCATCTGCCAAAAGGATTGTTAACCCATACCTAATGCGCTGCTGCCCTTTACCAGTTTCAGAGTTACTTGGTAGTTTGCATACAACATAAAAAAGTCCTTTCCGGTCGACTTTACTCCTTTCCAGACACAGAAGTAACAGATGATCCAGGACAACAGAAGACACAGAGCCAACTCCCATTGTATGCTGCCTAAATCATGGACACTTCCTGTGACATTCAAAACTCTTCTCCTGCAAACCTCATTTTCAGTTATAATTAACAAATGTCACTTTCAGAGCTTATTGTCATATTAGATTTTTTTCTTACTCCCAAAACTCTCTCACTGGGGATGTTGCATTTTTGGACAGACTCAAATTCAAATAATTACTCCTTCGATCAAACTCCACACAATTCTCTGTTGTAAAGGAACACAGGAAGTTTTAAACAAGGTATTCAAGGACATATACACTCCTTATTCCTTTGTACAAACCCCTCAACCCTTTAGCAACATTTTCATGTTTGGTTTTGGGTAGAGGGGGGAGGGGATGGTGGGGTAAAGAGTGAAAGACGGACAGAGACAAAGATGCACAGCAATATGTTTGTTTGTTCAGTCAGTTCACATACTGGCACCTACCTGTGTTCCAGCTGTTTCTGCAACTCGCCCAAGGTAGTTCAGAGTTGAAAGAGAAGAAGAGATACAGGAAAGCCCAGGCCAATATGATGATGTAATAGATACTGGAGTATAAAACAACCACCTGACTGCCATAATCCATCCCTGAAAAAAACAAAAAAAAACAAAAAGTCTTTAAATCACAAGCTCAACACTTTGGAACAAAGTAAGCAATCTCTAATTTATCATTTAATTTAAATGAACAAACTGGATTACTGTAAAGCCTTGTTATTGAGTACTTTCTGTGCCGAAAATGTCCCCAAAAAAAGCAGATCCTTACAAAATGTATTAAACAATAAGAAATAATAAAGATAATATAAAATACTACTAAAAATGTAAAAAATGTATGAAAAGGAAAATATGTCATTTGCTCTACTTAGCTAATAATACAGTATTTTGTTTGGCAAACAAGGAATGCAGTTTCTTCTAAACTTTATACACAAAGTTAAACAGCATTCACTCATTAATTACTTATTTTAATAATGTAATTTAAAGGCCATCAGTATCATAGTATGATGATGTGCTTTCTCGTCTCGCAGGTTCTTATCGATCCTGGTGGAGCCTCCTGCCATGGTCCTGCTAGATTGCCATTGCCAATACTGTTGTTGCTGTGCACCTGTCTGTCTGTCTCTCACTCTCTCTCTCTCTGTCTCTCTCTCTCTCTCTCACCCCAACTGGCCGAGACAGACGACCACCCACCTAGAGCCGAAGGATCTGTCCTAGGTTTCTGCCTTTTAACAGGCAGTTTTTCCTTGCCCTTGTCGCCAAGTGCTTGCTCATGGTGGTACTGTTGGGTCTCTGTAATTAATGTTTTAAAGAGTTCGGTCTAGACCCCTCTATTTGAAAAGTGTCCTGAGATAACTTCTGTTATGAATTGGCGCTATACAAATAAAATAAAATTGAATTGAATTGAAGGAATCATTTTCTACTGTTGTTGATTTACTAAGATTGTGTGTATCTGACTGTATGTGTACATGAGAAAGAAATTCTTGTAAATCATTCGGCCACATGTAACAGCTCACAGTAGGCAATATTTAACCAAAGGGAGCAATGTCAAAGATGAAATACCTGTTTATTATGGGTGGCATAAATAATTCACAAAACCTGACACAGTTTGTTGAGTTTCACAGAAAAAATGGTGTGAAACTTGGAGAACAAATCTTTTTAATGTATTTGCTAAAGTATCTGAGCAACAGACACATTAAAATAAAATAAAAGAAGCATAATCTGGAGAAACCTCATTAAAAATCTCATTATCTCCAGTCGGTTGAACTTCAGCAATGACTCTTCACTGGTTTGTCTAAGAACAATAACTAACTGTAACGATGTAAAAAAATCCACACTGATGAATGACAGAATGATAGGAAAATGGATAAAGTTTGATGACCTGTTTCTGCTGTGTGTTGCAAAGAAAAACACAAAGAAAATCAGAAAGATATGGGTTCACAAAGTTCTTCAAAGACAAGAAAGTTAGGGCAATCCAGAAATGTTATGATCATTGATAAACTTATTCATACTTTGGTAAAAAAAAGAAAAATTTAGAAAAATATGACTGCATTCTGCATTTGTGATGTGAATGATTAGATTTAAAAGATTGCAATTTCTAAAAAGATTTTAAGTTTGCAGCACCTCATATTTACAGATTTCTTTATGACTTAAAGGTTCAGTGTGTAACCTTTAGGAGGATCTTTTGACAGAAATGGAATAACTATGTTTGTATTATAATATAATTATAGGTGTATAAATAAGAATGGTTATGTTTTTGTTACCTGAGCTGTTTTTAGCTACAGACGATATATGGGTCACCTTCCATGTTGAACCACCATGTTTGTATAGCAGCCCAGAAGGGACAAACCAAACACTGGCTCTAGATAGGTTTGACTTATAGGTGTGTTTCTAGAATCTAGGACTGTTTTATTTTTGTCTACAACCATTACTGATATACCTATAAGAAACACCTCCATAACACCAGAATGTATTTATAACTCAAATACAATTTTGTTAATTATCAGGTGTAAATACACATATTTGATTTGATTTCACATGAATACTCTGATAGTAATTCTAGATCTTTACCTTCAAAAAGGGGACAAACATTCCTCCAGCAGGTTATGCTTCCCTGTTTGGTGTACTAGCTGAGAGACGTCTCCAGGAGAAACAGGGGGATACTGCAGGTGAAGAGGAAGAGCACATAAGGGATGAAGAACACCCCTTAGGAAAATAGAAAATTACACCACATAAACAGTTTGTAGTTTCAACACTTTGAGTAATCCATAAGAATGACATTAAGATGGTGTTTTTCCATATGACACCTGCCATGTGTTGTGAACGTTAATTAGTTAACTTGCAGTGTTTTTTTCTAAATGCAACGTATGTGTGTTATCACAGTGGTAGATATGTTTCCTTAATTTCCTTTTGTTCTTTTTTAACACTTTTGTTTCTTGTTTTTTTTTTTTTGGGCACTTTTGAAGACAGTAGCTGCTTTTTCCAGTGTTTTCCCCAAGCTTCTTTGAATATGATGAAACTCACCTCCTCCATTTTTGTAGCACAGATAGGGGAACCTCCAGACATTTCCTAGGCCTATGATTTGTCCTGCGACAGCCAAGAGGAACTTTGCTTGACCACTGTCCTCTCGCCGGGATGCTGGGTGCAGGATGTGCTGTGCCCATGTCCAGCCTGAACTTGACTTCTGGACCAGACCAAAAGGCTTATCCATCACACTGTGACAAAAAAAGGGTTTAGATTAAATATTTCGGATCCAATCAGTGGTGGTCAGTGCCAGAATGACATTGTTCGCAGCATGGTTGACTACATTTTTAAAACAATGTTTGTGTATTAATTATAATTATGTATGTTGTTTATGGATTGTATTTTGCAGTACCAAATGGTGACTGAAGAAAATTCACTGTGTATTTTAAACAACATAATCACTAATCACAGCAGGAATACTGACATGATTCAATCTCTGTATATTAATGTTCAAAATCTGCACAATGCCAGCAGTCTTGCTGTTTTGGGTCAACAGAGGGTCAGTGCTGCTTGGCATGAGAATAATTCTTCCATCAATGTTGCTTTTGTGCTGCTGCTGGATATTGCTGGATTTAATGTGGGAGTGAAGCAATAGCCTTGAATATGTGTGTGCTACTATATTACTGCTAAAAAGCTTTATATCTGGAGCCGCTCAAAACAACTTTCCTAAAGTGTTTTTGTGGTAATTTTATTTATACATCGAGGGGAGAATTATGAACACCAGCAGAGGGTGTGTTATCAACACCAGAAGTCTGCAATATGTGTGAATTATGTGTGGCATTTAAATTCTGATAGTGTTCAAAGCTTGTGCAAAGCATTTCTGAAGGTTTTTTGAGGCTGATATTAATATTGATATTTGGAAGCCAAAAAAAACGCATAAAGTATACTGATGATAGTAATTGTTTTAATAACATACTCAAACAGTTGAAATCCTTAGATTTTTAATTGTGACCAAGATATATACAGAGCAGGACTTTTTACAGTACCCTCTGCTGGACAAACTCTGTAATGGTGATACTGTTTCTAAATGACCTCAAACCTTGTTCAGGGTTCAACACTGTGGGTCATATGTGGGTGAAAATCAGAGAAAACTATTTGGGCACACTGGTGTGACAGACCAGTCCCAAATATAAATAAATAATTCAAAGCCCAAATACACCGATCAGCCATAACATTATGACCACATGGGCACCCTGGTTGATTTCGTTCTGAAATCAATGACCATATATTTGGTCTCATCACACCATTTAACAAAGTCATCTACCACTGGCCCGTGCTCAGATTCATCTTTATGGAGAAGATAACTGTGTCATCAGCATATTTCAGGATGTGCCTGTCCCCGTGCTGGCTTCTACAGTCGTTGGTG